ATCTGTAAAGTGGGGACAATGAACTCAGGAGGTGGAAGTGAGATGCCCTATTCCAGGGGACCAATATCTCATAGATTTCCCTTTAAGAAATTTAGTCGAAGAAAATTCTGAAAATCATATTGAGAAAAACAGAGACCTGAATAAATGGAGAACTATGTAAGAAAATCAAGAACAGGCCAAAACAAAGGTTGGGAATAGGGGTTGGGACAGTGATCGCATCGCCTTTGGGAGGGGCTGGGTGTTGGTTGAGGAGGGACAGGCTTCTGAGGTGGGGGCAGCATTCTGTGTTTTTATCAGACTGGTAGTTACCCACTGATATCCAACATACACTTAAAATTAGTGCACTTTGCTATATTGTACCATACGTGATTTTAAAAAGGAAGGAGGAGAGGTGGAGGGGCGAAGGAGAAGAAAGGAGAAGAAAAGAATGGAAAGGAAAAGGGAAATGAGACTGAGAAACTTGTGCTAAGGATGGGGGAAATCCTAGAACTTGAGTCAAGACGGTGACCTAAGCATTTTAACTCTGTCCCGCCTCCCACCCCCTCCTGAGTGCCTGTTAAATGACCGGGATCAGTCCTGGAAACTATGGGAAGGGATATCCACAGGCAGAGACTGAAGAATTTCTGCTGGTGCCCACGTCACCAGTTAGAGTAAAGGTAGGCCCACCTGTGATTGCACCAGGGGAAAGGACCGCCTCTGGGGAGTGAGAAAAAGTGATCATCGTAAGAAACCCCCTGGCTCGGAGGGGCAGGGGCTGGAGGCCAAGGACAAAGGGGCTGCGAGAGTGGAGTCGGAGGTACGGTTTGCTGCTCCCACAATTTCTGGAAGGTGCTCTGGATGCAGGTGTCAGCACAGTGGCGATCCGCTCACCACATCCCCACCCCCACCCCACCCCTCATTGCCTTGCAAGCCAGGCATAATGTGAATACCAAAACTAGCTCAGCCATTGCTCTGCCCCAGCTAGTTGCTAATAAAACAGTCAGGCCAATTAGAGAAAGCAAGCTCTTAACTTCAGATGACTCCTGCAAATGCGAACTATAAGTGTAGGCAAGCAGATCAGATGCTTTTCTGTTTCTCAACTCCAGCTCTTTTCAATGTCTTTAGAAGCAAATTTAAATTGAGTAATTCCCTCCCCACCACCATATTCTTTTAAATGAACAGAAAAGATTTGAATAAAGACTCATATAAGCTTCAATAGTTACCCTATGAAAGAGTTCAGAAGAAAAGATTTGGGGAAGGTAGATGATAACACATGAAAGTTAGCAACAATTTTTTGGAAATTGTTCAGATGAAAATGTTGGATAAAAATTGATGAGAAAATTAGCAAAATGGGATGTCCGAATAGTAAATAGAGGCAAAAGGAGATGCCGATAAAAATAAAGTCGATTTACGTCACAGAACTGCACAAATGATTAGGAATCGAAGGTGGTACAAGATAAGAAGTTGAAAAAAAAAGGCAGATTTTGGGGAAAAAGTATTTATAAGGACATGTAGGTCCCTTCCACCATATCCTGAAGGCAGCAAATAGCCTATCTGCCACCAGGGATGAAGGGTTTATTCTGTGGAAAAATGGAACTGGAGAGACAAAAAACCAACCAACCAACCAACCAACAAACTCACTGAGGAAGTTATTCACAATGGAAAGCAGAGAAGATGTTCCCCCACTTCAAACAGTGAGGGGGACCAGCTTGAGCTCCACTCCCCGCCCTGAGGCCCCTTAGGCCGCTTTGCTCCAAAAAATGTTAACTTCACTCATCGCCCACTACCAGTAGAAGTGTTTGCAACGAGAAATTTAGAGCCGAGACCCACAGACACCGATGGTGGGGAGTTCTCCAATAAAAGAGCCGACTCCCAACCCAGGAGTTCACAAGCCCCAGTCATCACGGTTCCGGGAGCTTTTCAAAGCGTTACAAGACGTCTAGGGAAAGTCTCCAAAATAGAGCTCAAAAGAAGCCAGCATCTAAACGGAGGAAACATACAAATGCACGGCACAAAGAATAATTTGACTCACTCTCAGATAAAAAACACTGCAACCATGAAATGAGGTTAGGAGGCTATAAAAAACGGAGAGCTCTTATAAATCAAATTATGATAGATATATGTATATATATATTACAAAGAACAGCTGGAGGTAGAATTGAGGAAATCTCTCATAGAGCGGAACAAAAGAAGTTAAAAAGATTGAAAAGAAGAAAAAAGAAAGAAGACGAATTGATCCAGGAAGCCCACAACCAACGAATAGGATTTCCAGAAAGAAAGCACACGGCAGACGTAGAATTATCAAGGAGATCGCACAATAAAATTCCCAGAACAAAAGAACACGATTTTCTAGACTGAAGATATCCGCTGAGTGTGCGGCACAATGAATAAAAAAAAAGACCTCCACCAAGAGTCCCTACTGTGAAGTTCCAGAAGACCTGGAACGAGATCCCAAAAGCCAAAAGCAACAGCGGATCTCACTCAAAATATCAAGAATCAAAGGGCACCGAAACAGCGATGCTGAAACCCTGTAAGAATTTCCCTGCGTCTCTCCATCCCCGCCCCTTCCCCCGCCCCGTTCAGCGTCTCACGCGTCCCCTCTGCATTTCCTCTGACTCCGCAGTCACTGCTTTAACTTGCGGTGCTGCCGCTTCCGCCCCAGGTCCTGTCCTTTGGAAACAAAATGTCTTTCCGGTTTGTCTCCAGCCCTCGGTCTGCGGACGCCCAGTATGCACGCGAGCTCGTCAGTTCCACCGCCGTCTTTGCTGCACTGTAATTGGTAGTTCAGAGCCTACCACCCTGCGAGTGCGTTTAGAATATCGGCATCTCCTCCCTTTCATAAGGGTTAATGCATATGCTCCACCTTTCCACAGCGAAAGCTGTCTTACATTTTATGGTGCTGTCATAAAACGAAACAAAACAAAACCCCCCAAAACTTCTGGCTCATTCTTGCTGGGTTGGTATTTTCATTTTTAGAAGAACTTTTAGTGTCACCTGGGAATGTGGGAAGTGTCAACAGTCGTTTTTTTGTTTGCGTTTCTTGTAAAGCCACTAATGAAGATGAATCCCATTAACCTCTTATAGAATTCTCCTTTTCGCATGCGTCCACATGCAGGCTACATTTATGACCTATTTCTGACTGATGATAAAAAAATGGGTCCTGACCGACTCCTAGTGTTTGGTGTTGACTCTTGTCAACAGTATTTCAAAAGTCAGAATAAATTATATCCATTGGTTTCTCCTTAAATATGTTTTGTATTGCTTAAACAATGTTAACCGGGAAGAGTGACTTCCTCTTTAAAAGAATTCTTCCTAATTTTTTGAATGTTAACAATTTCCATAACAAGCCCATTCTTTATCATTCCCCCTCCTCCATGTGGACATGAGAATCAGCAGCGCTCCAATGTCACTGCCCCTGGCCACCTCTGCACCGCCGTCAACGGTGACATCCACTCAGTCTACATTCGTGGTTACAGCTTATGTATTTTGACAAATGATTTCCTAATTTTATCTTGGAGCTCTTTCTAAATCTGAGACAAACATCCTCCTGACTGAATGACAATATAAGCGCATCGGGGTTTGGTATATAGGCGAGTCTAGTAAATGCCAGCCCCCTAAAAATATCTCCATAAAGTGGACCTCCATTGTCCAAGTGATGAGATTCACTGAGGCTCAGCTTAAATGGGTTCTGATGATTCGGGGGGTACCGAACCCACCAAACTCCCGCAGAAGAGTGCAATAGTCAGAGTCATGTATCGTTCCAGAGTCATCTCAACACCCCAATCCGATACCCAGGCCCCCCGCTGCCTGCGCCTGTGGGTCCTTCCCATCCTGCCTCTGCCGCCGTTTCTGCCATTATCCCCAAGCCCGCCCACCCACAGTCCCGCCTCTTAGTACTTGAACAGAGTGTACGCTAACTTGCAGAACTGATCATGTTTATACTGTGTAGGTCCCGTTTGCCCGAATAGGTGGGAAGCTATTTAACGGTGGTCCACGTCTCCAACCTCTTTGAAACCCCATCGCTCAATAACTGGTACAAAAAAGTAGCAAAGTGTCAAAATGTCTACAATACCTACTGTATTTGCCCACGCGTTCTCTTTTGCCATAGAAGAGTATCTAATTTAATTAATTAGGTGATAACTTATCAGTGAGTGTGAACAATGCCTCATTAAGGTCCTCAGGGGCTTATTGGGAAATTCACAGTTGGAAGGGATTCTGGGGCAGGTGCTTTGCACTTTTTTCCATGGAATCCTGGGGTGAATAGATTTTTTTTTCCTGCTCTCTACTTTTATTTCTCAGAGTCTAACAGGTTTAGGAAAGGCAGAAACCCACAGGGGAACTAGCGAGAATGACCGTAACTCAAGCATCAGAGAAAATGGCTCTTTCCCTCGGGTGATGAAGGAGAGAGAAGCTCTCCACCCGCAGAGGGCAAAGTCACGCCAGCAGCTGGAGGTTTTGCCCCAGAAAAAACACTCAGCTTACAAAAGCCAGGTGGAAGATTTCGCAAACTGGCAGTTTGGCAGCAGCACAGCATTGAGGACACTTTCTCGACTCGGCCAGGAAAACTCAGGGAGGACTGGGCTGAGCACAGAGCGCAAAATCCTGATGGTCTGTTGGGGATGTGCCCAAGAAAATCAGATAACAGATGAAATGAGGTTTGTCAGCCACCCGCTGGTTTCAGGGGCACGCTGTGCTCATTGCCACCTCCAGGAAATGAGTCACCCCTTGCAGAACCTGTCACAGCTCGAGTTTAATCAGCCTCCTGGGAGCCCAGGAGAAAGCACTACTCTGTCTTCCCACAAAAAATGGGCTGCCTGAGAGATGAAAGCGCAGAGGGAGAGCAATGGGTCGCGCAGGTGAAACCAGAGGACGGCACCTGTGGGAGGGCAGGAAAGGAGACACCTGGGGGGCTGGGTGGGAAGTGAAGCCTATTGAGTGGCATATGGTGATCTGGTGCCAGGAAAAGAGGTGGTCATTAAAGTCTGAGCCTCGTAGGTCCACATGTGACCGGCTCAGGGACCGGGCCACCTGCTGCTGCTACTCCTCACTGCCAGGCTCCTCGTCGCTGTCCTCCCCCAGAGGAAACGCCCTTGTGGACTTCTGGGCTGCATGCCTCCGAGTCTCCATGGAGCAGTCCTGGCTCAGAATTGCCTGCAGCAAGAGGCAGGATGAGAAATCACTGCACATCTTTAACCGGCCTCCCCATTCCCTTCCCCCCTAGCTCATCCAAGTCTAGTGTTGCTCAGGGAAGACTCAGGACAAGCATGGGACTCTTTTTCTGCTTCATGTACGAGCATGGGCTTCCCAAAGCACCTGGATATAGCAACCTTAGTCAGGACAAACATCTGATGTCTCTTAAATGAAACATAGTAGCGGTAGTGCAGGCTACAGGCTACAACTGAAATTGGCACCCTGCCCCCCATTGGACCTTCCTGTCTTCTGTCCTTCCTTTGAGCAGCCTCCACATCCACCCCCAACCCACCGAGACCCTCAGGGTGCTCACGCTGCAATGAAAGCGAAGTATCTTGTTAACTAAAATCATGTTGTGGTGCTCTCCCCTGGGGATTTTGGTACTTTAAGAGATGACCCAGTAAGGATCATGGCAGATATGAATGAATGAATGAATGAATGTGCCCGGTGGAATTCTGCCTATTTAAGGGAGATAAACTGGTAATTCACCCTTTGCTAGTAACTACAGCAATTGCAGAATACCTCTGATGGTCCCTGCTCCAATCTCTTTATAAACTTCCGATTTTCCTTCTTTACTTAGGACCCTGCTTAACTGCCTGGTGTGAGAGAGAAAGTGATATGTAGAGAAGGGAAAATAAGGAAGGGCCCGAAGGAAAGATAAAGATGAAAAGGGGATCAGAACATATGGCAAAGCAGAGAGACGATAAGGAGGGAGGAAATAAGTGCACGGGATGAAAAGGAATGTGAGAGACACAGAAACGGAAGTTTCGTTTTGTTTTGTTTTGTTTTGTTAGCAGTAGTCAGCACCCCTTACTAGTTTCTCCTCCTTGGCTGGGGGGCTCCTCAGGCAGTAGCAGAGGGGAGCATAGGTGATGTTGACGACCCCGATAATGACCATGAGCCAGGGGAAGCCGATGGCCCGCACGATGGCACCCCCGGTGGATGGGCCTGTGAGGAATAAACCAAAATCACCAGTGTTTATTGAGCCTTGATCACACAGAAGACACCACGTGAGGGGCGGCAGGTGACCTAGAAGATGTCCCAGGGTCAAATATCTCCAGAACCCTGGGAGGATCAGCCTCCCAGCTCCACATCCGGCTGGTAAACAGTAGATAAAGGAGACTGGGGCACTGGGCCCTGGGTACTCCCCTCTTCCCTGACCAACATACCCACAGCGAAGCCCATGCAAAAGGCCACATCGGCGATGGCATAGACACTCCCGTACACAGAGGTGTGGCGCAGGTCCACCAGGTGTCCCATGATGGGCATCATAGAGGAATCTACCATGCCTGTGGCCAGAGCAAACAAGACACCTTCCGTCAGCCATACCCCAGCCCCCGCCCCGTCTGTGCATTCTCCCTCCCCCTCCTCCTTTAGTCCACTCCCTTAGCCTGCTGTCCCCCAACTCAGCACGACACCCACCCCAGGTGGGACTGTGCACCCATCGCTCCCCAACTCTGCAGGCTGCCTTCCTGTCCTTCTGCTTTTCCATAGACCTCCTCTGATATGACCCAAAGCCAACACTGAGGGACTTCTTGCTTCCTTTAAGGGACCTCTTACCTATGGCAAAGCCGAGCCCAGCATTGGGGCCAATGAGGCCAAAAATATCATGAGCCAGAGGAACCTGCCACGGGAAGAAGGAAGAGTTCATGGGGAGTCCAGCGGGGCCGCGTGGGGGCAGCACAGTGACCTCCTGTGAAATGCACCTGCCGACACGTGCTCCGTGCAGCGTACGTTATCGACTTGGACTCTCACGCCTCCTTACGGAGAATTTTTACCTCTACTTTAAAGATCTGAAAACTAGATTGGCCGTTTGGTTCAACGCCCTGTCCAGAGCGACAGAGCTAATAAAGTGGCAAGATCAAGTCTGAGCTTCGGATGTGAGTCCATTACATGACAACGGCCCTTTTCTATTGCGTGGACTCTTCTTCCCTGTCTTCTGCCCCCCTCCGCCCAGACACATACTTCTGTCCTCGTTCTTCACTGAATGGAGTTGCCTCTTGTTTCTATTAGCAACATCATCCAAAGGTCTAAGTCAAACTCTAACTTGGTAGCCATTGGAGAAAGAAGACAGAGGAGATATAGCAACAACCAACCACCCATAAGCTAGAGAGTAGGTGGCCTGGTTTGCTGCAAATCTGCAAGCTTGCGAAGCTCATTGTCTTGCCCTCCCCGCCACCCACTGGAGCCTTCCTTCCCTCTGGTGCTGGTTCCTTACCTCTCTCCCTGGGCATCGGTCACCCAAACCTGCTACCTCAGCACATTCACCCCTCAGAAGTTTAACCTACTATTTAGATGTTAGTGGCTGGTAATAATTTGGGGGATGATTCCTCAAGAGGGATTTACACTTTATTAAGGGTATTGGCTAAGATTTGCTGTGGGCTCACTGTATGCCAGACACTGCTGTGGTTTATGTGGATTATCTCGAGAACCGTGTGAGGTGCTCTCAGAATCCTCTCTGCACAGATGAGGATACTGAGCATAGAGAGATGACATAACCGGCTCGAGGTTACGCAAGCAGCAAGTGGTAGAGCTGGGACTGAACCTGAAGCTTGTGGTCCTGATCAGAACCTCAGCCTTTCCCGAGCGCTGTGCTCAGTACTTTACAGCCCTGTTCTCATCTCCCTCAAGCCCAGGAGGCAAGTGTGCTTATGGTCGCCATGAGGAAAGGTGGAAAAAAAAAAACTTCGAGAGCTTCAAAGGGGCTCTGGGAAACAGAAAAGCCCTTCTTTCTTTCTTCTTCTACCAAAAATTCTGGTGCTGGAGGCTGAGGCACATCTGATGCTTCACCTAGTGGCTTCTGGGGTCCTGTCAGGGTCGGTTGAGTAAATGAAGTCATAAAATGCATCGTCTTGCTGGCCCCAGAAATAGATACCAACATGTATTGCTTCTTATAGTCATAGACAGAGCCTCAGACCTCCAGCTCCAGCCGCCCCATCGTCCCCCTTCTCTCTTTCCCCACCTCCCTTCAATGGGATGTCCGGTGGCCTCTCTCCCAGTGCTAAATTCCTAGTTAGGCAGGAACGGTTTTTCTGACAGTCCTTGCCGAGTCAATCCTCTGCTCATTTTAAAGGAATTTAAAGGTGTTTAAATGTCTGGGTTTCTTTCTCTCTCAACTCAACCTTATTATACTTACACAAAGCAAGCTGGTACCCACGACCACCATGCCAATCAGGGAGCACAGCCACCTGGGAGCAAAGAACTGTCATCACATGGTGCCGAGGGGAGAGATCCCTTCTGCCTGCCACCCTGTCACCACCCCGCTGGCTAGTCCTCCCACCCCTGATTCCGGGAACCCCTTAGGATGTGAGAAGATGAATGCTCCTCTCCGTGACCAGTTTGTACCCGGGTGAGCCCTTTCCCTGTCCTTTCCTTGCCCCATCTCTTTCCTGGCGCCACACTTCCTTTCGTAGTGGAAGCGGAGGAGGTACAATGGGACCTAGTCTTCCTTCCCTTAGAAGAGGAACCAGAAGATACTTGCCCCTTGCGAGTAACGCTCAAACCGAATTCACGCTGTTTCGCAATTTGGACTACCGTTCCCCTGTTCTTATTTATTTGGTCTTCAAGATCCATCTCAAAAACCACAGAAAATACCGAACTTCTTTCCTCCTCTGATTTCTCATAGCAGTGGTTTTAAAATCTATGTTTTTAAATCTTTATGCTGAACTCCAAAGATAAAAGTAAAGCTGTTCTCACTGTAGTGGAGGAAGAGAATCCAGACTCATACCTCCTGGCCCCCAGCCCTCGGCGGCCTCTGACGTGCCTCGGGAGAACTCCCTAGGGCTCCGTGGGACACAGTTTGACGACCACGGCCCCAAAGTACTGCTTTATTCATACCTGTTCTCTGTGGGGTTATTTTATCTCTCCAACTGGACAACACACATCTGGAAAGAAAAGGTTGTCCCTCGAATAGTCACTGCCTCTTCTGTAGCAACCAGCTCAGGACCATCCACTCTCTACACTGTCCTCGCCACCTGCCCACCCCCGCCCTCAACACCAGGCAGTTTTTATCTATGTGTCTTGGCCCTAAACTGTCAGCCTCAGGCAAGCTATTCATCAGCCCAGGTGCTTGGACAATCTCGAAAGCCTCTCCCATCTTACATCCCTCTGCTCTTCTCAGATCCCCAGGCCACGTACCGACCCATCCTGCTGGCCAGCACACCGAAGATGTTGGTGCCGATAAGGTAGGACACACTGGCAGGCAGGAAAGCTAGACCTGTGGAAAGACGTGGGTCTGCACCTTCGGAAACGCCCCGTTTACTCTAGAACACCTTGTTTCCTACAAGACAGCGACGTCTCCCTCTTACCTTCAAAGATCGCGAACCACTTTGTATTGCGGGTTGGAGGTCCCTGTGCAAACCCGGAGCAGAGCAGATGACCCAGGGCCCCCGCCTCTGCGCTCTGCAGGAGCTGTGCTTTGTTTAGCTTCCGTACATGTAAGGTGCGTCCAGCCCACACTTAGACTTCTTGATGAACAGCCCTAATGAACCATTCTCACGTATAAAAGACCCTTGGTTATCAGCATGAGCTTTAGAGAAGGACAGACGTACTTCTTGGGAAGCAGAAGTCCTGCCTTGCTATTTATCGGCCCTTCTATTGCTTGGGTCGTGACCTTGGATAAGTTATTAAACCATTCTGAGCTTTGGTTTCCACATCTGAGGAAAACAAAGCTCTGGTTATACCATTACAGCTTACACCGAGGAGCAAATTAGATAATGTAGTTAAAGCATTTTGTAAACCGAAGCCCTGGTCCCCTTGTTTTCTGTGACAGTAGAGTCAGGCACCCTGAAGCATGGGCTGTGGAGCCCCACAGCTCTGGACTCACACTACAGCTTGGCCAACTGTCGACTCTGTGACCTTGGGCAATTTAGTCACCCTCTCCACATCTCATTCATCTGTTCATTCATTTAGTACTTTTAATGAGCTTTTACTATGCGCTAGGGACTTTACGGGCTAGTCATAGAGGGGTAAGTAGGATAGGCAAAAGCTTAGCCCTCAGGGAGCTTATATTCAAGGGGAAGGGGAGAGAAATAATAAACAAGTAAACAAATAAATGAAAAAGGTAATTTTGAAAAACGACAAGTCTAGGAGGAAAATTTCATGTGGCGATGAGGCAGAATGACCAGGAAGAAGGGCCAACTTAGATTTGGGAGTCGGGGAAGGCTTCTTTGAGGAGGTGACATTTAAGATGAGACCTGAATAAACAAAAGAGAGCTTTCAAGCAGGAACAAACAAGTTGAGACCTGAATAAACAAAAGAGAGCTTTCAAGCAGGAACAAACAAGAAACCGCCCCCACCCCTCCCCAAAAAACCCCCAAATACCTTATGCACATACAAAGGCTTTACAAAGAAAACACTTAGTCTGTTTTAGGAACAGCAAAGTCTGTGTGGCCGAAACAATGAGCAAAGGGGAGAGTGACAGAAAATGTATGGCCAGAATTTGGAATTTGGAATTTATTCCAAGTGCAATGGGAAGCTTTGGAGGGAAGCAACATTTTCTGATTTATATTTTTTAAGTCTCCTGGGTCAAAGAATGGGCTCACGAGACAAGAGTGGAACCCAGAAGACAAGTGATAGTGACTCAGCTTAGAAGTCACTATGAAGAGAATTGAACAGAATGAGAGGCAGGTGGAGTCAGGATTTTCTGTTGGATCGGGTGTGGGCAGAGTAGGAGTGAGAGAAGAGAGAAATCAAGGATGACTCTCAGATGTTTGTCTTAATCAACTGGGTGGCTGGAGATGAAGGAAGAAGAGCTTGAGGGTTTGAAAGGTCTGTGAGACATCCAACTGGTGACGTCAGTCAGTTGGTCGCACAAGTCTAGAGTTCTGAGGACAGGTTCTAAACGCAGACACAAACACTCGACTCAAACAGTCAGACTGGTTTGCACATGGTTCTTACAGCCCTCTGGGCTCATCTACGAAAGATCGGATGGAGAAGAAGTTCTGAGTTCTCGAAGGCTCCGACCTCTAAAAGTTAGCGGAGGAGGAGGAGAAAGCAAAGGGTTTGAAAAGGAGCAGGGGAGAGTCAGCAAACGAGTCTCGATGCTTTTAAAGGCATCTGGAAGATAAGAGAACAAGGAGTTTGGCCTCTGATGCTTCAGCTACAAAGAGAAGGCAGTGACGCGGGTAAAGGTGCAGGGACATGAGGATATTTAATAATGGGAGTTCCCTTCTCATGGCTTCTATTTTCTCAATGACTAGGAGGCGAGAGTGTCTAAATGGAGAAGTGTAAAACAGTCGTTTTGGGACGTG